GGCTTAAATCAATATGCTAAGACGTTCTTAAAATAGTGATAAACCTAAGCGAAATACATTAGATATACAAGAAAAATTATAAGAGAACGTATACGCCGCTGAAAGCTAAGATTACAATATCTAGGGCGTTTAGAACTAATGAGACAAATTACAAATTTTAGAGGACTTGGTAAGACGAATTGCATTTGTAATGCTTTAATGGGAATTGTAAAGCTAGGGATAATCAGTTTTGTTGTTTTCTTTTTGTTATATTGTATTTATATTATTTGCAAATTTTCAAATAAACATCTAAAATTTAAAAATATAGATATAAATAAATCACAGTATTTTAATATTTTTGCTCTAATTAACCACCTTTTTTCGAACCAACAACATTTCCTTAGCAATAATTTCTACACTTCATCTTCTCGGCCCATAATTATATTTCACGAAACGAAAGTTTTTTAGAAACAGGTATTTACTACTAGATATTTGAAAGACGACACGAATTAATTAGGTTTGAAAAAACAACACAAATTAATACTGAATCACTGAATACAATTTTCGCATGATAAAGAGCAATATGAATTGAAGAATTCCTCATATTGTACATGAGTAGTTGAAAGTTTTGGCTTAAGTAATCTTGAGTTGAAATTCACAAAGATTCAGTATTAATTTGTGTATCCATTTTTTAAGAGATTTAATTATTCATAGTCCCTATTAAAATCGGTTCCTTGTAATAAAAATTAGTGGTTTTTGACTCATATTGACTTTCCAATAAATATGCAGAGGCAGCAAGGAAGATATGTCAATCCTTATTAAAAAATTCAGATTCATCCATCGTACAGTCGAGCTACTGTCTGTTATAAGATACATTATACGCACATTTGCCAATTTAAGCAAAGAAGCAACATGTATTCCATACTGGATATGATTTGTCATAAATTATTCATGAATCGTTCCGCGGGCTATATATTGATACTGTCATACTTCATTTGAGAAAAATATTCGAAGAGTTTCTTTTTGAAAACAAAATAGGCCTGAAAGTCACTTTCAACTTCCTATCGGCGTGTCTGAAATCTAGAGCGTATATAATTTGTTTGAAAAAATCATCAAGAGATTGACTGTCGCAGATACACATTTCTGCTTTTTGTTTCAGTTAGCTGTATCCAAGCTATAATTTTGAAGCCTCGACTTTGAAGACTTAAGTAACAAATTTACTACCATAAAAGACAAAGAACAAGAATGAATATTTCTGTGAAAGCTCGCTCTAACTTGAAAGCAGAAACGTCTTTTTGAAAGTTTTTTGCTTATATGCTATTATAGTGTTCTTTTCCATGAAATTAAATTTAGTTTTAAAAGGAAAAAATGCTTCAACACTCCCGAAGAGGGTAAAGATTGGATGATTCGATTATTGCATGGTTGGGTATAATACAGCATTTTGCAAAGGAAATGTAAAATTTATCAGTAAGAAGTTCAATAAAACTTGTGATGAACTGTGATGTAAGTAATTTCAAAAAAGGTATCATTGCAATACTCAGTTATAGACTTTCCAGTTTTTTTATTCTATTGACCTTTGACTGTTAAGTTCAGTAGTAAAATTGCATATAAACTATTATCCTAAGATGTGTTGTTAAGCAGTGACAAAGTGTTTCTGCGATAAACAGCAAATACGTTTATTTTGGATCACGCTGGAAATTGTTCATCAATATCGCATACAATGCATCGGTTCCGTTAATACCAGTTTAGCAATAATTTATAAAATAAACTGCAACACATTTTCGTTTTTTATCTACAATTTATGTAACTTGTTAACTGGCAAATAATGATAAATTATCATTCATATCATTCTTGCATTTAGTGGTTCAACGTGCAGTTAAGCCTATCAGAGAAATTTCGTTTCAATTAAAATTGCATATGATCGATTCGGATAGAATCTCTCTGAGAGCTCTCTTCACAAATGCCGATAATATGTTTATTTGTAAGTATTGTATTGAAAGTAATATAATTTCAATTGACCATCAACAAAATTTAAAGACATTAAACAATTATCAGTTTTTAAAAATATTCAGTCGATTTAATGTGTAATGTTATATAACTTGGATAAATAATATGGAGCTTATATGTATGTACCCAATTATTTCATACTAAGTTTCCCGTTATAAACCTTAAAATGTATTCCACAAAACAGTCCAAATAATACGCGCCAGAAATGTGTCTGCTGATTGGTTTTGTACGTAAAGAAAGGCTGGTTTTTATTTTAAAAGAGCTGGGCCGAAGCTTCCTGACCATTTCGTTGACAAATAAAAATTCCGGTCCGTATTTGCTTTTTACCGGAACGGACATTTTTGACGTAACAGAAAAAGTAAGAATATTTGCTTTTATATGTTGTAAAAACATCAGCCACAAAAACCCAAAAGTTGGCTTTGATCCAGAACATTTCCCATGAAATGAGATAAAACAACATGTAGGAAATTGGCTCTTTATATTTAGCTTGTTATTGTAAGTTGAAAAAATTCGAATAAGTGCCCATTTAAAAATACAAGAATTAGAAACTAAGGAATAATGAAATGCTGAACTCGCTTCAAATTTTATGCTTGAGCTTCGCCAGAAATTATAGAAATCCTTATAAAATAGAACTAGTTTAAGTTTGCTTGATTGTGTTTGGATACCAAAAAAATCGATTCAGCTGGTTATCCAACCAAGTAATTATTATTGCGACAAACTGAAATCCTTAAACAGTCAGCCTGTTTAGAATTCCACTCGACCGCTTTTAAAACTTTATTGTTAATTGTTATTACATTCTCTTGTGCTGAGTATTTCCTGGATGTTGTCCAACTTGTCTCA